CCCAAGCAAAGTTAGACTTGCTCCTTCTGAGTGGTCAGTTTAGATACTGTAGTTTTGCCTGGTCTTTAGTGTGTGTTTTGAGTTTTAGCTAATTATGGTTTTGTCTATCTGTTTTATTGAGTCTTTTTAAGTGTGTTGGTGTTTAATTGTTTTCAGTTGACTTGGACTCTTCTTAGAGCTAAAAGGCAGTATAAAAATATATGTATACATGGTACATACCTGTATACATCTATATATACATATACATACACACTGCATCACATCTGGTATAATATTAAACTTGTTTGTGGTTGCATACAGTGCCTGACCTCATTTCATCCTGGCTCCTCCTAAAGCAGCCCAATTCTTCCGTCCCATTAGAGTTTCTTCTTTCCTGTTCATTTCCTCCTTATTTCCCCCAGCTTTCTATAGTTGTTTCCCTCCTTTCCCTCTTTGAATTAAAAGGGGCAATATTTTATTTTATTTTTAAAGAATGATTTACTTTTTTCTAGTTGAGTAGCTTACTTTCCCCCAACTGCCTGAAAGCAAATCGGTAGGCTTCTGCCAGGTGTGTGTGTCACTCAAGGACATTACTTTCACTTGTTTTCCTGAGCTATATTGGTCTGTTGTTCAAAAGAAAAGCCTCTGCAATCTTATTTGAGAGTAATCTCTTAAACCCAGTGCATAGGATGGAGAATATTCTGTAGGGAATATTGAAGCAGAATGGTCTTTCTTCTAAATTAGTTGATCTAGGATACCTTTGTCTCTCCACCCATTATCAGCTCTCACTCTAGCCCAGTGTTTCCCAACCGGTGTTCCGCGGCACACTAGTGTGCCGCGAGACGTTGCCTGGTGTGCCGCGGGAAAAATTGGCGGGGGGGGGGAATAAAGGGGGAAAAAAATTATTCCCTCACCGCCAGGCGTGGGGCTGGGGCGGGGGAAGCCCGAGCTTCCCCCTCCCCCAGAACAGGACCCAGAGCCATGCCGAAGCTGCGCGCAGCTTTGGCATCGCTCTGGGAGCTTGCGGGGCTGGGGGAGGAGGAAGCCCTCCGCCAGCCTCCAAACCATGTCAGGAGACAGCGGGATGGCGCGCTGCGCCTCTCCCGCTGTCCCCCGAGTTTGCAGGGCTGGCGATGGGGAGGAGCAGGCTTCTCCCCCCGCCAGCCTTCCAGCCAAGTCGGGGGGCAGCGGCAAGGGCGCACTGCGTTTCTCTGCTGTCCCGGACGGCTTTCAAAAGCCTGCCTTCAAAAGCCGTCCGGGACAGCGGAGAAACGCGCTGCCTTTCTCCGCTCTCCCGGGAAGGCAGGCAGGGGGGGAGCAAAGGCTTTCGCCCCCGCCCGCCTTCAGAAGAGGTCAAGGACCTTCTAAAGCCATCCGGGACAGCGGTGAAACGCGCTGCCTTTCTCCGCTCTCCCGGGAAGGCAGGCAGGGGGGAGCAAAGACTTTCGCCCCCGCCCACCTTCAGAAGAGGTCCAGGACCTCTTCTGAAGGCGGGCGGGGGGTGAAAATCTTTGTCCCCCCTGCCTGCCTTCCCAGGGGCTTTTAAATCGCCCCGGACAGCGGAGAAGTCCTCCGCTGTCCCGGGCGATTTTAAAATGCCGCCCGCCAGCATTTTAAGATTGCCCCGGACAGCGGAGAAGTCCTTCGCTGTCCCGGGGTTTTTTAAAATGCTGGGGGTGGGAAGAAAAGCCCTTGTCCCCCCCCCCAGCCTTCAGAAGAGGTCGGGGGACAGACTGTCCCCGGACCTGGTCTGAAGGCGGTTTCCCTAGGAACGCATTAATTGATTTTCAATGCATTCCTATGGGAAACCGTGCATCGCAAGACGAAAAACTCGCAAGACGAAGAGACTTGCGGAACGAATTAATTTCGTCTTGCGAGGCACCACTGTATCCGGAGAGGCGGCCTTCAGGCGAGTTTTAATTTTAATTTTCCTTCTCCCTCTTAATGCCCCACGCTCGCCCGAGCAGCTTGCAGTCCTCGGTAACCACGGCGACCCGAGGGAGGGGAGGGAACAGGGAAGTCGAGGGCGGCGGCGAGCCGCGATGACATCAGTGGGCCGCGCCGCCTTGCCCTGGCACGGTGTGAGAGCCCCGGCTAGTGGCGCGAGCTTCAGAATAAGTGGGATCCGCATGCGCGAGACCGAGATCGCGGGTAAGGAGCTCAGCCCTGGGCAGGAGGAAGCGGGGCCGCGCGTGCGGGCCACATCCCCACAGAGAGCGAGCCTCCCCCGGCCCACCACTCCGGGCAGGTCCACTCGCATGAGGGGCGGCGATGGCGACGGCCGGCAGCTTGCCTGCAATGCCATCCCTCGAGCAGGCGAGGAGCCCGGAGGCTACCAGATATGAGTCCTCTTTCCCACCCTGCTCGGGAGTCCAGAGCACTTGGTCGCATTCAGGATCTAGAGTGGGGAAGCGGGGCTTGTGTCTGGGCTGGACACATTGGGCTGCCTGTGCCGCTCGACCTGCGGGGAGAAATCAGGGTGGGAGTCACGACCGTGAGGCAGGGCTGCCAAGTGTGGCAGAAGAGGACATGACCGTCGCACCTGTCCTTAGGTAGGAGCTTCTTCCGTGTCGACCTGCTGCCCTAAAGTCTTGGCTTTTTTCTTGGCTTTTTGGCGGTTGGCACAGAAGGAAGGCAAGGGGGAGGGGGAAAAATTGAAACTTACACTTTCGTGCGTCCCTCCCGGCGTGACGCTGTGCGCTGACGTCACGGGGCTGTAATGGTGGTGTGCCTCAAGATTTTTTTCATGAAACAAGTGTGCCTTTGCCCAAAAAAGGTTGGGAAACACTGCTCTAGCCAGCACCAGTATGCTGCCTCCAACAGATTATTCCTCAGGGAATGTGGCCCTCAGAAAAAAAGGCTGACCATCCCCGTTCCAGACCTTTCACATATAGAATCCAAAGACTTGAGTAATGTTGGCCAATGGCAGCACAGCTTTCAACTTATAACAGATATGTGTGTGATTCCATCTTTTCTATCTTTATGTTTCCAGCATTGACATAAACATTATCTTGATGCATAGACATTACCGGTTCAGCTGCAATGACTAGTTGAAAGTTGAAATGATGGCAGGGCAGGCCTAGTCCTTCTGAACCCAAAGGTAATTAGCAAGTTTAGTAAGTGTGTGTACACAGCATAGTGCTTCACCCACCATGCCTGAAAAACATCATTCAATAAGAGTGTTCAGCTCATGTGAAACAACTGCCGGGCCAGTATCACAATACAGTCACAATACATTCCAGAGAAGACACCAATTTCCGTACTTCACTTTCCATCTCTGTATGTCATTATAAAAATTGTGTTTCAGTCTAGACCTTAGACAATTTAGAACAAGTCTAGAACAAGGAGGCATCATTTTATGCTTTTGGGTCCTGGTGTGAAATTGTCTAAGGTCATTATTTCAACACACACCTTTGTTCACGATCAATATTATTTTCTAGTGGGTTTCTGTGTGAGGAAGGATTCTTGTGAATGGCCTAAGTCATGTGACAAACTAGTTTGAGTCAACCCACTGATTCTATGATTTTTCACTAAGTGTTCATCTACCGAGCAAAACCATACAAACCCACTGGAGCAATCAAGCACTGTTAACTTGAATGTGCAAATGGTTGTGAGCACCCACCTTCATCCTCGCTGATTCCACTGATAATATTTGCTCAGTTGTTAACTCTGCACAAGTTCTGTTTAGCCTGGAAAGGAAGAAGAAACCCAGACTATGGGACATTGTTGTTGTGTGCTCCTGGTGACACCCCACATACAGTCATATACACCAAAAGATAGATTGCCCTGCTGTGCACCAGCTGCAGTTTTGCAATGGACTTCAAGGGGAATCTCCTGCAGAGATCATTACAGTTGTGAAGGCCTAAAGCTCAAAGGCACAAATTATGGCTTCAATGTGTGGTTGCAGAACAAGAGACTGTCACCTTCTCACCACGTAGAAGTGATGAGAAATAATTCATCCATTCCATATCCCAAAATTCCCTGGTGAATCTTGGCACAGCCATCCCACACCGAAATTCCTTTTTAGCCAAATCTTATATTCACTCTTCAGTTTTATTATTGGATTTGGCTTCACTGAGCTCACACACTTCAGTATCCCGGCTATAGCTAGAACCTGCATAAGAATGCAAACTGAGAGATAGAGTCACAGGGCTACTAGGACACAAGACATGTCCCAGGAATAAATGATTCCTTACATCAAGTTTCTTCCTGCTCATTTAGGACAGTATTTGACACTAGTCCTACACAGAGTAGACCTGTTGAAATTAATAGACATGCTAAACTTAAGTTCATTAATTTGGATGGGTCTACTCCAAACAGGATCTAGCTGAATACAACCCTCACCTATCACATAACAAATAATTATATTATTTTCTCTTAATTTTTATTAAAAATACATCAAGAGACACATCCTTCTCTTGATGTGTTAATCTTATAGTTGATTATAGTTGACCCTCAGAATTTGACTAAGAAGATGTTGAATGGTTATCAAATGAAGATCTAAACACATTGCTAGTTTAGGTTATTTTTTTCTTTCCCATTTCTTAATAGAGAGTTAAACTTCACTATTTTAGTGTACAGTGTTCTTATGACAAGTATATTTTAAAGCACATCCTTTGCATTTCTTCTTCATAAATATTCTATGTTCCCCAATTTCTAATTTCCGCCACCCGTCTGATCAATTTTGGCAATGACGTAAATTTTAAGGTGAATTAAGAAATATCGAGGACAGTTATAGTTTACAGGATTTTTAAAGCAGGGCATGTGTCTACTCACTCTTTTAACCAGCTTAATTAACTAGTATCCTTCCTGGAGCCCACAAACTTTTGATGAATATGAATAGGCTTATTGATGTTTGTAATTATGAACTTTGAATCCTGTTGATGAGCAAAGAGACCAGCAAAGGGGGAGTAAATCCTGCTGCATTTATGGATGGGCATCAAAGTGTATATAAAGATGGAACCTAAAGGTGACAGCAACTAGATATTCCATCTTCTGTTTGATAAAGCAAGTCAGCAGAGATGGTTTCTACCATGACCAACAAGAAGTTTTCGCTGAAAGGTACGTGTTTTGCCACTCTTTTGGCCTTTCTCTCATTTAGATTAAGGGGAAACTTTAAACTGAATAAATTTAAAATCACTCGTAATAGGCATGCATAAACACACTGTAAATCATTTTGCAGCCTCTGTAAGAACGCAGGGAGAGAACCTTCTTAGAACTTTTGCACAAACTCTTCTAAACATACTGCACAATGTCACACTGTGCACTAGAGAATATTCTGGTGGATCATGATTGATTTAGACCCTCACGCTAAACTTGATGCATTTTCCACGAAGGAGAGCATTGATTCTTCTCAATTCTTATAGCCGAACAACATATTAAACCATAATTGCTACAATTATGCTCTTCCTTGAAATATAATGGGACATAATGTAGCATCATGCCTTTACCTTGTTGCAACCCAAGACTTGTTTGGTAACAGAAGCAATCTAATGTAACAAACCGTGCACTTCTATGCATTCCAAAGTTAAGTCCCACTGAGTTTAGTTTAATTTACTCTTATGTAAGTATGCAAAGGAATTATCTGAGAGTATTAAAACTGCATATGGTGTGGCTTTTCATTCGGCTCAGCAATGTGTCTCACCTTCTTTTTTACTCAAAAAAGATTTCTAGTGAACTCAAAAATTTGTTCACAATTTGATGGTGTTTTCATTGGTATTGATAAAAGCATAGCACCACTGTTGCTGTTTGGATCATAACTGTGCAGTTGATGATGACCAATCAGTCCCAGTAGAAGTCTTCCAGATTGAGGTCTAAGACTGGCTTCACACAAATAGCCAGAACACAAGACGTTGAAAATCTGCTAATATCAGCAGATAAACATAATTGAGGTTCAGAGCAGAGGAAGCTATTTTATAGCAGGTCAGCCTATCTGTCAACACAGACCAGTATTGTCTTGTTTACTCTGACTAGTTATGGGTTTCTAGAGTCACATTAAAGGAAAAGGGACCCCTGACCATTAGGTCCAGTTGTGACCGACTCTGGGGTTGCGGTGCTCATCTCACTTTATTGGCCGAGGGAGCCAGCGTACAGCTTCCAGGTCATGTGGCCAGCATGACTTAGCCGCTTCTGGTGAACCAGAGCAGTGCACAGAAATGCCGTTTACCTTCCCGCCGGAGCCGGTACCTATTTATCTACTTGCTTTTGAATTGCTAGGTTGGCAGGAGCAGGGACCGAACAACAGGCGCTTACCCCGTCACGGGGATTCGAACCACCGACCTTCTGATCAGCAAGTCCTAGGCTCTGTGGTTTAACCCACAGTGCCACCCGCGTCCCAGAGTCACATTACCTATACCTTAACTTTCTACTGGCAATGCCAGGGGTTGAACCATGGGACCTTCTGCATGCAAGGCATGTGCTTTACACCTGAGCTATGGCTTCTCCTAAGAATGGACCCATATCACAGTACATTTATTATAGACTTGTGCCTTAAAGCATAGTTTAGGCAAATATAAAATCAAAACATTTGCGTTTCACCAATCAGTTTCTTTGCTGCACACTTCTTGCATAGCAAAGGTATGGGAAGCATTTTTAAGCAACATACAGATTTATAAGATATTAAAGATTTGGAAGGGGGGCGGGTCCTAAAGTATAAGCAGTGTTTGCAGAACTACCTTCCCAAGGCATCCAGGAGTCTTTTGAATGCATTCCAGTGTGCTAAAGTTTTTTTTTGTAGTCCCGTTACATATGCAGAAGAGTTTAAACGGCACAGCTGCTGAAAATTTGCAGACATAATCCCAGGACAATCAAAATCTTGGGAGTGACCCCGCCACCCTCCTTCAAATTTAATTTAAACGCCATATGTTTGTAGGGAAGGAAGCAACCCTTGGGAAAAGCCAGAAAGAAAGGGGCGCAACCTATCTTTCCACACTCTTACATTTATGCAAACACAATTATATATCTATAAAAAGTTCGGTTTCCTCACATATGGTGGTTTAATGAAGTTAAGCATTAAAGGAGGAGGCAGAATAATGTGGAAAGTTTCCCATTCACTTTCTGGACTTGATGGACATCTGATGTTGTTGTTCTTGTTTACTTGAACAGGTGTGTTGCTAGCCATCCTGGCGATTACTAACGTGTACCTGTCAAGGAAGGGTGTAACATCATCACCTATTTGTCCCAATGGGTCTGACACTTGCCAGGTCTCTCTTGGGGATCTTTTTGACCGTGCTGTCAAACTCTCACACTATATCCACTCCCTGTCTTCGGAAATGTTCAATGAATTTGTAAGTACCCAAGCCTTTCTTGCCATATACTTTTCTACAAAATGAACTCCAACTAAAAGATGACATGAAGAAATAGGATGGGGGGGGGACTCTCTAGCAAAGGGGAAACTGTGGCTGCCTTTCTGTTTGCCTCCCTTTCAGAATAGGAAATCGCACAAGTATGGTACTAAGTACTGTTATGATTATTAGGCGGTGTTTGACTAAGAGGTGCTCAGAGAAATCAATGGGCTTTGTATGCTATTTTTAGACAACCTTTAATCCTGTAGTACCCCAGAGTGATGTTCAAGTAAGAATATAAAAGCAAACAATAACATTAAAAACCACAACATCCAGCCATTCAGCAGTAGATATGAAAATGGACATCAAGGCTTATGCCACCCTCAGTATACCAGAATGAAAAACATCAGTGCCTACAGTCACAGGAAGAGAGTTATAACTACCTTAAGTCCACCAATGCCAATGGGTCTTCTCTGAGAATGACTTGGTTGGGTACCACCCATTATTTGGAAAGGCCAGTTGGATAAATCTACCTTGAATGTAAACTGTGGTACCTTGGTTCTTGAATTTAATCCGTTCCGGGAGTCCATTTGACTCCCAAAACCGTTCAAAAACCAAGGCACAACTTCCAATTGGCTGTAGGAGCTTTCTGCACCCAGGAAGCAGAATCCGTGTCAGACGTTCAGCTTCCGAAAAATGTTCTCAAACTGGAACACTTACTTCCAGGTTTGTGGCATTCAAGCCAAGGTACGTGTGTGTGTGTGTGTGTGTGTGTGTGTGTGTGTGTGTGTGTAAAACATTTCTTCACCACCCTTCATCCAAAGATCACAAGGCAGTTTACAATATAAGACCATACTCATATGGTAGCCAAGTATGATTGAAAAAGGAATAAAGACTCATAGATTCTTTTGTGTATCATCACTGAAGCCGTATATACTGTCCCAACTATATTAAGCCTTAATTAATAATCTTTAATTTTTCTAAAATACACAAGATTCTTTTGTGTATCATCACTGAAGCCGTATATACTGTCCCAACTATATTAAGTCTTAATTAATAATCTTTAATTTTTCTAAAGCAGTATTAAGGATTGAGGAGAAAGCTATGCACACTTGAAATGAATTTCAGCAAGGTAGTGTATTTAAGGCTTCAATTGCAGATGAGGGAATGCAGGAATAAAGATTCAGGATTTTACTTCAACATATACCTCAGCAAGCAACGTTCCTACACACCTTAAGACACCTTAAGTTTAAGAAGTGGGAGTGAGGCAGGTTAGGAGGTCTTCTTCAATAGGTCCAGCGTACCAAAGGAAAGAGACACTCTTAGGAGGCACAACAGCAGCAACAGATGGGCGTGATTGAATAAAACACTGCCATTTATACACAGAAACCATTTAGAGGAGCAAAACAAAGTAACAAAGGGTTTTCTGAGTGGAATGCTTTGTAGGAGAGAAGCAATTAAAAGACCCAGGCACTAGAGTTGCTTTGGAGTTTGGCAGAGAGATATTGAGAGAGAAATGTTCATCCCACACTACTCAGTGGGATCACAGTCTACGGATCACTTTACAAAACAGAGACCCTCTTATTTATAAGCAGATTACGGAGAAACCTGACCCCCAAAAGTGATTCTTTCCACAGTACAGTTTAAAGCAAATTACATTTGACACAGTCTTAGAGGGGCGTGTAATAAGGTTCTGATACGAAATTAAAGTCCTGCATAACTGAAGGATACATTTCACACGAGCAGCAACTGCAAAGAAGAAGTAACTTCTGATTATGATTTCTTCTTACTACGACTTATTCTTCTTTCCTTGTTATCTACTGTACTAAGTCTGATTTTTCATATCTTCAGGATGAACGCTATGCTCAGGGCCGAGGGTTTATTGCAAAAGCCATTAACAGCTGCCACACTTCATCCCTAACCACTCCTGAAGACAAGGAGCAAGCTCAGCAGATTCATGTGAGTTCTGCCTATTTGAATGCAAACAGAACAAGGAACAAACACATGAGTAGCTTAGATTAGAAGGTCTCAATGACTCAGTCCAAAGGCGAACAGAAGGAAAGGAGGACACATTAAGTGGCCATAGGAAGTCTTGCAAGGCATTAATCTACAAGGCATTAATCCTTGGCTGGATCCCTGGCCATGATTATTTTAATTTAGTCCCCACTGTAATCAGTGGGACAAGTTAGCAACACTTTGGGTGGGTGGAGCCAGAGGCAAAGTGCAGGTTTGATTTTGATTTTATTTTGATTTATTGAATTTCTGTGCCGCTTTTCATTCAAATGAATCTCTAAGCAGCTTACAAACAATAAATAACAATAACATAACAGAGCATCACAAACGCAGCATTAATAATATAATTAACAAATCATCAATGAAATATTTACAATTATTTAACAAAACGGCAACTAAAAAAATAAGCAATTACAGCAAAAGTCATATTATACACAATCACAACAAAAGTCATATTATACGCAATCACAACAAAAGTCATATTTTATTAACAAATCAATACAGCATTTAGAATCCATAAAGCATTAACAAAATAGCAACTAAAAACAACAAAAAGCTAAGCACTGTTAAACTAGTAGACACACACTCCACACCCCCAACACTCTATTCAGTTCACAATAAAAGACACATCATGCCTGTTGTTAAGCCAGCTTTGCCGGATGCTGTGCTGGCTGGGGTCCTCAGGTAGTAAGCCATCGTGGAGATGGTGGGCGTACTGCAAGGTGGATGTTAACTCCAAGTAGCCTGCTCTGGCTCTGTTGCCCACGTCGCTCTCGGTAATCGGAAGATCCATTCATAGTCAAGAAAGTCTGGGGCGAGCCTGTCCCTCTGGAGTGGCGAGGTGGAGCAACGGATGGGATGCCTACCTCTCTACAGTCAGCTATATTCTAGCCATGCAAACGTCATGTCTCAATCTTCCATCCTGACAGTAAGCAAGAGGCATTATCACAGTGCAAGGGGACATTCTTGCTAGGCAAAAGAACTTGAGGACATGAAAAAGTGAAGGTGAGGTTGTGGACTGGGGTAGATGTGTGGCCTGTGGAAAGTCCCAAAGCCTGTTCTTCAGGCCTGATATCTATGCTGTTCCAAGGAAAGAGGTGTGACTTTCTGGTAAAGGAAAGCAGGAGTACAACTGACAAAGGCAAAGAGAGAGGAAGAGTGGTGGATACCAACTGTCAAAAGTGCATAGTGTGTCATATAATTTCCCCCAGTATGTTAGCTTCTAAAATTTAATGAGCATCTTATTAAAATAATAATTCTTTTTTAAAGTAAGTTTCTAGTCCATACACTTGTCAAGGTAATTAGAATTCATGGGAAAATTTCTGGATGTATTTGTAAATGCTGAAGTAGCACTTAGCACCAAAGCTGTATCAATTCCCAGGCAATAGTTTTCTTTCTAAGTTCCCTTTATCCACCGAATAATCTGCCTCCTCAGAAACCAAGCCATGAGACACAGCCCTCTCGCTATTTGTATTGGCTAGAGAGCTGATGCGTGAGCATTTGAACTTCGCAGTGTTGCAGTTCTCCCGACCTAGGGAGCGCGAAAGGGTTCAGCCGCAGGGTACGTGTATTTTGCCACAGTAAGCAAAGTGAAAAGTGTTGGTGTCGACATTAGAGAGGTCTCAAGGGCAGCAAAATGTCTAGGAGGATCCCAGGAAAGAAAAAGCCCCTTTGATCTTCCGGCTCACCCCAAGCAGTGGCAAAGTTTCAAAAGAAATCTCCCCAGAAGCAAAACACTTCAAAGGGGAATCAGACCCATGCCTGGGCATGTTTGCCATGCTATACGTAGACATCGAAATGCTTTGGATAAGGTATTAAGTGGCCTACCACAGATTTCATCTTCCATTATGTTTTCAAATATTTTCCAGATCCCGTATTTCTAAAACTGTCTCATTAATTCTTAAACTAATCATCAGATTAAAGGGCATTCCATTCAACAAGGCTGAACAGAGCAGCGTCTACCAGCGCTGGAGAGTGCATGGGCAGTTTATTGATCATGTGTACTTAGGGGATTCTGTCACCCAGTTAGCCCAGAGATATTGTTCCCATTTATTTATTTTTAAAAATATTTCTCTACCACTCTCTCATAGAATATCAAGGAGGTGCACAGTGCGTATATGAAAACATGCAAAAGCCATGAAAAACGGAGTAATCGTTAAAGTAACTGGCTAGTCAAAAGGATTTAAACAGCTGCATAGGCCTGTCAGCATTTTAAAAGTCGCCAGGAAATGTTTGGAAGTCAAAAGCAAGAATGCCTACTGAATCTCTCACAGCACTGGACCAGTGACACTAAATGCCCGACTTCTGAAAATACTTTACAAAGTCTGATTTATTGGTTCTAGTGCTATCTGGAAGAACAGCGAACAGACAACAACAACTGTTGCTGTTGTTGTTTTCTATCCTGCCCTTCCTCTTGGAGGAGCCAAGGATGACAAACACCAAAACGATAAAACAATTAGTTAAAAATTAAAAAGCATTATTTAAAACCATTTAAAACCACTAAAATATGTAAAACAGTCACATACACTCACAGCTTATAATTTCAGGGTTGCCAGAATACTTTCCACCATCAAACGCCTATGTAAACAGGAACAGACACATCTCACCAGGAAAGGCATTCTACAAATGGGGAACCAACACTGAGAAGGCCCTATCACAGCTCAACATCAACCAAGCAGCAGCCTATAGAGTGTAACCACTAATCCAGCCTCCCCTGTTGATCATTGATGCCAAGGTGGTTGGTATCGAGGGAGATGGTCTTTTATGTACTTGGATTCCAAGCTGTTCAGGACTTTGTACACCAGTATGAACACCTTGAACTGGGCCCAGTAGCTCACTGGCAGCTAGTGAATGATACATGGTCCCATTGGGCTGCCCCACTTACCATCTTAGCAGCTACATTCTGCACTAGCTGTAACTCCAGACAGCCTTCAAGGGCAACCCCAACCAGGGTGCATTACAGTAGTCCTGGCAGGAGTCCAGAACAACTGAGGTCAGGCTAGAAGACTGTCAACAAATAAGTTTAAAAAATGACTTGCTAGGATTATCTATCTCCTGTGTAAATCTTGTGGCATTGTTTAACAAAATATAATTTGGTTTTCTAATGTGCAGCATGAAGACCTGCTAAATTTAGTGCTGAGTGTTCTCCGTTCCTGGAATGACCCTCTGCTACATCTGGTCTCGGAGGTCCAAAGAATCAAAGAGGCTCCTGACACCATTCTCTGGAAGGCCATGGAGATTGAAGAGCAAAACAAACGGCTTCTGGATGGGATGGAGAAAATCGTTGGGAGGGTAAGTAGGAAGGACCTGGGAATTCTTCTAGCTGCATAGGACAGTATTCTGCAGAATCCAGCATTCTCCATTACTCAATGAGCCTGGACAAGTGCTCCAAACACACACTCTCAGATGGTCAACCTCCACAAACTGGAAAATGACAGAAATGACAACAAGGGGTTGATAAGCTACCATAAGCCCTAGATTGCTTATGTCCAAATGGGGGCAAGTTCTGTCATTCATTCTGCCTGTTATGCAGTCTTCTTCTTCTTTTTAACACCCTTCTCTTTTTCCTTCCCTTGAACTAATTACCCAATATCAGGTGGAGCACTACAGCAATCTTATTCTTTCCTTTAATAGTGTGTTCTAAGAAAGGCTATACCCCACTATTCTATAATTAACATGTCTCTTTGGAACTCTCCCCCCCCCCTTTGGGTTTCTAAATCAGTGTTTTTAGGGCCTATTGCTCAATTTGAAAAGAGGCAATACAAGTTGATCGTAACTTCTAGATTAGTGGCCCACCAGATGTTGTTGGATCCACCCCCCAGCCACTGCTCAAGGGTGGTAGAAGCTGTAGTCCAAAAACATCTGGAGGGCCACAGGTTCCCCACCCCAATTTGGATGGTTCCCTTCACAGGAAACAAGGTAATGTTTTCATCTCTTCCCTACTCCAGATATTGGCTTCAATCCAACACAGTTGAGACTATTCAAGCCTATAGATTTCAGGAAATTAGGAAAGCTGCAACCATTTGAGTGCACAAGTGCTGCTAGCTCCCAAAGAAAAGTCAGTGTGCTTTCAAACAAGGCAGCTATCCTTTGGACAAAGGAATTCTAATTTGAGTGCTATATTTAAAGTTCTGTTCTCATGCCTGAATACTTCCATATCACCCAAGGGAGTCACTGTTTCATCATGAAAGCTAATAGTACGGCATTCTATTTACAGATACATGCATATAAATCCTGGGAAAGCACTTTGCACAGCAGAGTTGCAATGTAAATGAGTAATAATCATGGAGATCAATTCAAGTGGTTGAAGCATGAGCTGTTTCTTTCTTCTTTTACTGTCTGGAGCAAATATGTAGTTCTCCCTGTCGAGATGGGGTTTCCCCCCGCAATTCCATTTGGCTTTCTTAAAACCTAAGCAAGGATCTTCTCTCATTTCAAACAAATACTGGGCAACTCTTTAAGTGTTAATGTTGTAATTCTCTAAATATTGATCTGATACAGATCAATACTGATCTGATACAGACATTGTCTCTGAGATGCTTGCTAACGATACTCATTTTTCTCTTCTTTGTTAGGTTCACCCAGGTGACCTGGGTAATGAAGTCTATTCTAGATGGTCGGGGCTGCCATCTCTGCAGCTGGCTGACGAAGATTCTCGCCTCTTTGCCTTCTACAATCTGCTGCACTGCTTGCGCAGGGACTCACACAAAATTGACAGCTATCTGAAACTCTTGAAGTGTCGCCTCATCCATGACAGTCACTGTTGAGCAATTGGAGCTAGCACCTAGCGCCTATAAAAGGACCTGCTCTTAGCCTCATTGCTTTTCACTGCCCATTGCAGGCCTTGCGCAAAAATTCATCCTGTGGTACAATATTTATGTCCATGTAATTTTTACTTTTGTGAGATGCAAGCCATTTGTTCATGACTTAAAACTTTCAGAAAAGCCATTCTTTTCTGTTAAGAGTACATTACTGTCTGCTTTAATCACAGTGATATGCAAACCATGCAATAAAAACATAAAAAAATACTGAAATATAAAAATGTGTTTGAAATTGAACTTGGTTTTGCTTCCTCCTTTGGTTACCAACATCTGGGGACTTGTGGCCAGAGACTATGGAGTTTGTGTACACTAATGCTCCACTCAGCCAAGGAAACTAAGTGCAGATATTTATTTTTTTCCAGAAGCTGTACTGTCTACCATCAGGAATATCAGAAACTCTTCTTCGTAAAGAATCTGGGTGGCCAACAATTAAGGCAAGAATAGACTGCGCTCATTTAAAGTATATTTTAAAAAATTGCTACAATGCCTACAGAGCGTTTTCCTGCTCTGTGCTATATGGAATTGGATGATAACAAACTCTGGAAAGCAGCTTATCAATATGTCTTGAAGTAGACTATTATTACTATCCAGAACAGAGCTCTGCTTTGACCTTGAATAACTGCCAACAAAGGGATTGGCTCTTGTGGGTAGAATCCAGAAGGGACCTGCAAATAATTAGAAACATCAACTTTCCCCCTTGGTATTAGCTCTTAAGAACAGAGCATTTTAGAGCTAGTTATCTGTCCAACTCTCACCAACTTCCTTAAGAAACACTTTTATTGAGGTGTTTCCAAGTGATGACCACTGCAGTCTTGGATAGCCACTACAGTGGTACCTTGGGTTACAGACACTTCAGGTTACAGACTCCGCTAACCCAGAAATAGTACCTCAGGTTAAGAACTTTGCTTCAGGATGAGAACAGAAATCACGCGGCGGCACAGCAGCAGCGGGAGGCCCCATTAGCTAAAGTGGTACCTCAGATTAAGAACAGTTTCAGGTTAAGAACGGACCTCCAGAACAAATTAAGTTCTTAACCCGAGGTACCACTGTACAAGGTCCCATACACAGACAGATTTTGCATTTGTGGTCAGCCTCAGGTGGAAGACATCACTCACCATCTGTTAGCATGCCCTTTACATAGAGACCCAAGCAATAAACTTTCTGAAACCTTTGTTCACAAAGCAAGCAAGAAATGATCTTGTATATTTTGAGTGACAATAATAGGTTCGTAGCACAGGAGAGGTTCGTAGCACTATGCATTGACTGCAAAAGAGAGAAAAAAACAGGAAAAAGGAATTTGATGAAATCACTATAAACTGTTGTGATGATTCAGTGATTCAGAAGTTTAATTTGAAATCAAGCTGGATTTGAGTTTCCTTGCATCTCTGGTAACTTCTCACTTACATCATGGATGCTGCTGGCCAAGGAAACTCTCTGGGGATTATACTGAGCTGGTTGGATCCGGCTTCCAGTCTGCATCTCTGGGTCGACCATGGCAGGGGATGAGCATCATTTTGACCTTTCACTTTAACTGAGAAAATATCCACAGTTTATAACTAGCTCTGTGCCAGACTCTGGACTTACTCTGAAAACAAATGGGCTGTCCAAATACCTTTGTGGATTGTGGCTGGATCATTTTGCTCCCCTCAAAGTCCCCAGACAGGGTCTTTGAAAATCTGATTCACATTACCCAGGCATATTGCACTTCAGCCTTCATATCGGTGAAGGACTAAGGGGCAGGAAGATGTATTGCATGGAGAGACCAGGCTTCCAATTCTACCAACAAGGCTGTCTTGTACCTCGGTCACTTCACCCTACTCTACCACCCCAGGCAGGTGTGTGCCAGTTTTATTGCAGAAATGCATACAAAGCAACCTCAGTCATGTGCTGGAAACAGTTTTAATGGGAGCTGTGCAAACAGCTAAATTTAGTTCCCGTACTAAAGGAGCTTAAAGCAGGCAAGCTTCTAAATTATTCTTAATGAGACCACTGTAATGATCCCATGCCTATACCTAGATTACCTAGCTCTGATAAAGCTAAAACTCAAATATTTGGACCAAACCTTAAGCTGTATCCTCTCTTAAATTCCAAAAAGGTTGCCCAGACTTTCCATTTCTGCAAGATTTGCACGTCCTTCTGCATTGCACGGCATAAAATAAGACCAATAAATGTTTGTACCGTGCTTGTAACATGGATAGAAGTAGGAAGTCCTGATAATCTACCAGAGAGGCCCCTTTCTTGGGAATTTCTGACCTCTTTTGTGCAAGCAAAGGAACTTGTGGTGGTTCAGACCAAACGTCTAGATGCTCTATCATCCCAGTCCTGCCCTTTGAATGGTTTTGAAGTGTGTGCATCATTTCAATGTGGCTTATGCCATTCTACAGTGTAAAGGCTACTTAATTAATTTGCCTGCCTATGGTACTTGCAGCAGGACCAGTGGGTCACAGAGATTCTGGTCCCTTCTGCCAGACTTAGCGCCAACAAAAACCACGCAGGAAATCTTTAAAAGCAGACCCAGTCAGAAGCAGATAGCTTAAACGGGGCTGGTGTTTTTGTTACTGGTGTATCTAAAGGATGAAACAGAAATAAAAAGCAATGGTTTGTTCTTTGTAATATTGAAATGGAAGACTTTGTCTCGTCACATGTCAGAAAAAAACTACTTCTTAAGTATCACACGAGCACAGAAAGTGCATAGTGACTTCTGAGTTTTCTGAACAACTTTTTGTGTGTGTGATGGATGATACTAGGGAAATGTTTTAAATTATTCATGTGGAATTATGGGGACTGAGGTTACTTTTCTTTTCATCAGAGAGTCTTCCAGGTCAGTGTATTGAGTACAAGACAGCCCAATGAGGGGAAGGGGGGAGTTCAAATGTACTTATTTTTAGCAGGTGCTAGACAACAATATGATGCTGCTTCCATCTAAGAAGAGAAAGATGCAGGTTATGTCAACACATAGCTGGGTGTGGGCCACATGACAACCAAAGCCTTTAACCTGAAATCAGACACTGGCATAGCCAGAACAACAATGAGTTCAAAGTGAAAGTATGACATAGAATTCTCACAGTTGGCATTTCCGAGATGTGAAGAACGCTGGTAGGAAAAATGGAGATGGCAGAAGAGAAAATGGCCCTGCAGTCCCACTTTGATGTGTGATGCCTGAACCAGCTCCTGAAACTGTTGTCTGTAAGGACCTCGCTGGGCAGCCTGCATGGAACCACTCTGTACACATGCTTGTTAATTATTTTCGTTGGTATTCTGTCTTTACTCCAGGAAGCTCAAGAGAATTTTACACGGCAAGCCTAAGAAGTTTGCCTATCTTGACAGTTCGGAGTATGTTCCAGGTTGCTGCTGGAACCATGTTGAACACCTGTGCAAACAAGTCAACAGCAACTTGCTCAACCAGTAGAATGAACCTGGGTTCCTGGGGCTGCCTTTGAAGACAGTATGGAAGCTTAGATAATAGACTCATAGAGTTGGAAGAGACCCTAAGGACCATCTTGTCCAACCCCCTGCAATGCAGGAATATGCAGTTGCCGCATACAAGGATCAAACCTGCAACTATTAACAGGAGCAGGAAGGCATGAATATATAACACTGGTGTACCGGCTGGGACGCGGGTGGCGCTGTGGGTAAAAGCCTCAGCGCCTAGGGCTTGCCGATCGAAAGGTCGGCGGTTCGAATCCCCGCGGCGGGGTGCGCTCCCGTTGCTCCGTCCCAGCGCCTGCCAACCTAGCAGTTTGAAAGCACCCCCAGGTGCAAGTAGATAAATAGGGACCGCTTACTGGCGGGAAGGTAAACGGCGTTTCCGTGTGCTGCGCTGGTGCTGGCTCACCAGATGCAGCTTGTCACGCTGGCCACGTGACCCGGAAGTGTCTCCGGACAGCGCTGGCCCCTGGCCTCTTAAGTGAGATGGGCGCACAATCCTAGAGTCTGTCAAGACTTGCCCGTACGGGCAGGGGGTACCGGCTACTAATAAGTTTCTGGCTCAATTCAAAATACTAATTTTGATGTTAAAAGTTTTATATGGCTCAGGACTCTGATGCAAAGGACTGCCACTTATATCCATATAAACCTGCATGGGGACTGCAATTGTCACCCGAGCTCCTTCTCAGTATGAAGGAGGATGAGCAGAGCATGTGTGTTTTCTCTTAATAGTCCCTCATCTTGAAACACTCTCCTCAAGAAGCACACCCATTGGCACCCAGTTAAAACTTTCATAATATCCTGGGCATATTGGACAGCTTCAATTATACTGATACAGCAACTCAATCCAGGCTTCAGGCTACAGTTGTTCTTCTACTGACATTGCCTAGTGCTTGAATACATTTAAACTATATTTTATTGTATATTGTAAATTGCTTTAAGGTGCTTTTTTAAATTTTAGCATAAAATGATATAGTCCAAACAAATGAAATCATTACAAAGACAGTTCCACCACAGTTATGAAGCTAGAATCAAAGGCAGTGTTTGTAGTTGTATGCCTACAGCAGCCATTGTTCACATAGAGTAAAAATTTCACTAAACCTTCCGAATACGCTATGCAAAATAAGGTTAGATGGTACATGCAATTGTAAACCTTCACAAGATGCCTGAGGGAGAAAATTTGAGCAGTCGGCTCCTGCAAGCTACCAACTAAGAGGAAAATATAGCATTTAAAAGCCTGGTTAAAGATTAACACAAAAAGCTGTAAGAAGGTTCTTAGGAAAGAATCAGGACAGCTGCAGCTGTATCTCAGCTACCTGCTGAGGGTTGCTAGGCAACTCAGGCCTACCACTGCCCCGAGGGCCTTTTATTTTACAATTAGGATATCTGAAGGGGCTTTTTTGTTTTTTGTTTAAAAAGGATTTTTGCTCATACTTCTTAGATGTGAATAAACATTTCTGTTTTTAAATCAAGAAAAAACCGGAGTCAAATAGGGCCCTCTAATATTTGCTGCGTATGTGATTTTCTTATAGAACTGACACACTCTGGAAACAATGTACACTTTTTAAATTGTGACATTTTGACTCTATGGGAGGAATTATTTGCTATTTGTTTTGAACAGAACCTTAGCTCATGTCAGATATGAACCTCCAGACAATCATTAGTTTAAACTG